GGGCATGCAAGGGACACATGTCCTCCGACAAGTACATGATCTGAAGCTCCAACAGGGGGATACGATGTTACAGATAGGTTTTCTTCTGGTACGTCGGAGATGACTACGTCGAGGGAGGACTTCAAATTTCTTCTGGAATTACAGGTCGGAAAAAACACGTTCTCGTTTAATCCTGCTGTGTCCAGTTGGCAGCTCAGCAGGTTGCGAGCTGTATCAGTGATATCAGTTGGAAGCCATGAGGTGTGTTTTGCGTTCATATCTCCTGCCAATAGAAACAGAGAGTTCATGAGGTAGAGACCTAGACAGGGATCCAGTTGCTGGCAGAATTTGTACGGATCTGTGTTTGGAGGACGGTAGGAGCATCCAACTGGAAGCGATACATTCGGTAGGTCCAGTTCAAGTCTATCACCCTACCAGTGGTGATAGACAACGAATTAGCCAAGGCAACGTCCATGCGTCTCCGGAGTCTGAAGGACCTGGAGACACTGCGATTGGTGACTAGAATAGGCAATCATTTAACGAGATAATCGCACAGGTCACATTGTAGAGTGCAGATTCCCTAGTGCTTTCAACAATAATAAATTGTACTTGCACATTATGGGAACTTGGTATAACCCCACACCCGACATTGTTGAATATTCGATAATGTTTGAAACTCGGATGTTGAGCCAATAATAAATGTAGAAAGGAAAACTCTTGTCAGTTTTGTGCCTAGTTGTTGCTCTTTCTGACTGTATATAGTATCTGGTTACAGTGATGGAGAGTTACTCTCAACTCGTATCTATAATTCCTTTTCCTTTCTACATTCGATAATGGGTTTGTTAGGGATGGATGAGTGAACATACACGGCGACTCCTCCGCCTCTACAGAGCTGCCAATCATGCCTATAAAGGGAGTGGTCGGGCAGTTCGTACACGGAGTCTGGCTCTAGGGGGTTTGCCCAAATTTCACATTATGACGATAAGACTGGGTCTCTTGTTTACTATCATGGCTATCTGCGCAATCCCGTCCATTTTGTTGAACAAGCTGAGTGCGTTTAAGATCAGAAAATTGAAATTGCTGTCCAGCTGAAAGAGCGATCTATGATTTGATTGCGTGGCATTGCGGGGGAGAAAAGATTGTGCGTGAGGATTAAGCATGAGCATTGAAAGAAATGAAAGGACTAGTAATGCCCATAGAACCACTGGCATTCCTACACCTCAGCAGTAATTGCACATCACACTTTCCTTTGAAGTTTTATTGTCTCATTTCATGTGTCTGGCTATTTATTCTACCCCCGCCCCTGTTTTGCTACCAATTCAATATCGCACAAGTGGAAAACCCCTCGATAGGTAACCTGCCTCTTGGTCATCCCTCAAATAAAGATAATAATAATAAAGTGGTATAGTGAATTACTACTGGCATTGCGATCTCGATTCCTGTTAGCTTGTTCTTTTCCTTCGAATCGATAGAGAGGGGCCGCTAGCACCGTTAAGCACTTCCTGTGGGCTGCTTTCCCTACTTGCGATTCCGTGATCTCATGCTATCATCTTCAGTTCTGTAGGGGTGACACTCGGGCGCGAACCCTTGGAGTTGCCCAAAATGACTTCGCCTTCGGATGAATCCAAATTGCAGTCTTGAGCCGGTGGTCGGTGTTGATAGTGGACATTTGTGGTCTGGTTTGATGCTACCGCTTGCACCAGGGGTTAATGATCTGAGCTCTTTGGCGTAGCACCAAAGTCGTCTGCTTTGGAAGAGCTTGACTGATGATTTGTAACCCTGCTCGCCGCCTCATGATCAGCGGAATGTTCCCTCCTTGCTCTCCCTGATTAAACTACTGATCCGCAGGCAACTGGAAGCCTATGCTGACGATATAACATTGTACACTCTTCACTGTAACTACTTCGCCACTGCTGCTGCCTTGCTTCAGGACACCGTCAATCGTCTGTCAGACTGGGGTAAGGAATGGCGTGTAGTAGCGTTTGCCCTGTCGAAATCTCAGGCTATGACAGCCATGCTGCAAAAAGTGCAGCTAGCCTTGCCCTCTCTCCTTTTTGGAGGCAACCCTGTGCCAGAGTCATCCACAGTAAAGCTCTTGGGGTAACTTCTGATCCAAAGCTATCCTTCGCGGAGCCCATCAGCGTTGTTCTGTTTTTCAAACTTTGGAGCAGGGTGCAGGTTTTCGCACTCTGAGGCACACAGTTTCTCGAGAGGAAAACCGGCATCAAGCTGGCCTGGTTTCAAACATTAGGATTTAGGCATTATGATGAAGAAAGGAAAAGGACAAAATGTTACGAGTTATGAAAAACTGTCCACCAATGTAACCAGATCTTATACAGCCAGCAAGTGCGACAAAATGGCACACAACTGACAAGGAGTACTGAGACATTCCTTCTTTCCTTCCCCTCTTGGACCTTTCTGAACCTGAGCCTTCCAAGTTGGAAAGTTGTTGGTTTGCGCCTTGGAGAAGTGTTGGAGCTAGGTGTCAGGTCGCCAAATGTCTCAGTACTCCTTGTCAGTTTTGTGCCATTTTGTCGCACTTGCTGGCTGTATAAGAGCTGGTTACGTTGGTGGACAGTTTGCCATAACTCGTAACATTTTGTCCTTTTCCTTTCTTCATCATAACTATATTGGCTCACCATCCGAGTTCAAATTTAGGTATTAGTTTGTATTAGTAGTAGAAAAGGTAGGCATCCGATAGCGCTGGTTCACCTCCGCCATGCCTCCAACTAAATCTGCCGTTCGTGGACTTGCGGATTCCGAGGTAAAGCTGCTGTGCTCCCTCACCGGGATCGAATCGTCGGTTGTAGATGTGATGAAGACGTTAGCAGCATTGGTAACGAAGTCCGCAGACCACTAGGAACGACTGAATAACAGAATTGACGACTTATGGAGGCAAATTGAAGACGTTGAATAAATGTTGAAGATGTTGATGTTGAATAAATAAATAAATAAATTGCAGGGCTGAACGAAGAGGTTGTCGCCTTCAGGGCGTCCACCATTGCTTATCTTCGGCTTGCTACAGATGACGAACTTCAGTGAACTCGCACTCCGCGGAGTGGACAGCGTACCCATACCCGTACGCGCCGAGACCAGGCCCAGAATGCCATGCGGGACCAGGCCCAGGATGCCACGCTGGTCACAACTGATGAGGGCGACGTGCAGCATGCTGACCAGCGCAACTTGGAGCTGGAGGAGGACGACAACGAGCCCCACACTCTGGACATCATTGCTGACGACAGCTGGCAATTAGTTGCACAGGAACCCCCAGGGCGAAGAAAGCACTAATCTTTGTGGGCAATACAAACTGCGCTGAAGAGAGCATCAAAACTTTCGTGCAGTGGCGGGCTGAGGCAGTGGGATCAACGGCCAGTGTTCATAACGGCAGCATCCACTCAACACAGACGGGAAAGCTATCATCTAGGATTTGTATAGATGCCATAGACCTGAGCCTGGTGACAACTCTGGACCTCCAACAGTGAAAATCCTCCTGAACCAGCTCGACGTTGTCAAGACCTCCGGTCCGAACAATAATCTCTGCCTGAGTGCTCAAAGAGAGCTCCATGAACTTGCAACCCCTCTCTCGTCCCTCTTCGCCCTGTGCTTCCGTAAGGGTGTTCAGTCAGAGGCCTGGAAGAGTGCTCGAGTTGTGCCAGTCTACAAGAAGGGGAGCCTATCCAACCTTAAGAATTATCACCCAGTATCCCTCCTCCCCATCATTTCCAAAGTGATGGAGGGTATTGTGAACTGTCAAATTGTGAATCAGCTTTCAAAATATCACCTCGTGTGAACCAAGAAGTACGTATTTTGCAGTGGCCTTGGTACAGCGGACCTACTTTAGCAGTACTTGGGCATGATGGTCGCTGGCAGCTGGTTCTGGTGGCTATGCCCACGTCCTGGCTGTCGACATTGCTGGTGCGTTTGACCGCGTGTCGCACCCTGGCGTCCTGCACAAAGCGGCCACTCTCGGTATTGGCGGTGGCCTGCTGCAATTTTGAAATCTCTAATCACTGAAAGCGATTCATATCTGCCACAATGGCAGAAGTTGGAAATTAGTGGCGGAGAAGAAAAAGAGTATTATAAAAGGTGAAAGTTCTTCTCGAAACAAGACGACTGTGACTTCCAGACCTTGAGTTTGACTCCGGTTTTCCCGGTGGGTGTTGCACTGCAGAGTGCAATAGTGCTGTGCAGCACTGTGGTAGGGTTGATTCACACTTATAAATGGAATATCAGTTCAAGCACATGCGTTTACTTGACCTCACAACTAACATGTACATGTACAAGGCCGCACACTCTTTAGTTCTACAGTCAATAGTACATCTACGCTGGAAGTTAGTAGATGCATCTCACCCAGCCTGTAGTGGTCTGTGCAGACTACTGGCAGATATACAGCGCATTCCTACAGGTGCAGGCCAACCACGTACCTGGCTTCAAGGTATCCTTTCGCTACGTTCCTGTAAGATCATTGAACAAGCCGGTCTAATTGCAAAGCGATAGCGGAACCAAAAACCCATTCAACTTGTGTGGCTTATTAGGTACAATACATGAAAAGGGATGCGAGGCGTAAACAAATTATCACAATCCGAAAGGTCATTATCTTTGTGATCGCACTGTCTGACTGCACATTATCTCCTTACTTTGGTGGATTTCAGCCTCGTACCCCGGGCCATTGGCACTATATATTTTAGAGAAATGCCTGAAATAAACAGATGTTGTAGATCAAGGAGGAGTGCAGCAGTTACAAGTCCAGTATGGCACATTGTGAGGGCATGCAGCCAGAAAGTGAATACACAAAATTAATGAACATTCATCTTTGTTTATAAGAAGACAAAAGGACCAAAGAGCTACAAGTCACGCTATAATTATCCACTAATATCACCCGTTACTAGGTATTGTAAAGTAACTGGTGGTGTTAGTGGATAATTATAGCTTGACTTGTAGCTCTTTGGTCCTTTTCCTTATGAATTAATCCACCCGAGTCTATTCCTTTTTGTGAATGAAATGTTTCCAAACTGACTCACCAAACACGGATATGATCAGAAGTAGTCGTTGTCGACGCCCTGGCTGATGAAAGACAATAACCAAGCTCTTGTACAGTATCGTAGCATCCACTGACATCCACATGAATGCGCACAGTAGTAGATAGTGTGTAGCCATTGCTAATCCTCTGCACAGGTCATCGCTCCTTTCTAAATGTTCATAGTAAAGGATCACTGTGAACAAGGCTAAGAACATCAGTAGAGTTGTACACAGTCCAAATATCATCTGATAGTGAAAATTTCGACGCAGTTTCCTATCATTGTAAAACAAGAAACATCCAAACAGTCTTATTCGAGGGAATAATTCTATTATCAGCCATTAACAAGCATGGTTGATTAATATGGTGGTTACGACACACCTCGCAATATGGCGGTAAATCAACACCTGCCCACACACGCTCTCTAGGCTGCAAAGTTCTGGGACAGAGTTCTTCTTCTCACCACCACCACCACCACCAGGAGTTCTAATCGATGCATGGTTGGCGGTATCCGACACTGCAGTACATCAGGTTACGCATGGTACATAGAAGATGACACAGCGACGACATCGCTCAATTGCGACATACATTTCGATCCAGCTGGACTCATAAGGTAGAACTTTGCAGCCTAGAGGGCGTGTGTGGGCAGACGTGTATTTAAACCATAAGTAAAGCTGCAGTGGTGTCTGCATGAACTTGACTAAAACGTCGTGGCCACGGTTGAAATCGTGACTGCGACCTCCGGAGGGGGCCACGACTTGGCGGCAACATAACCGTACGCTTGAAGCGTATTTTGTGTACAATCTGGCCTGAAGTATGTTGAATTTATCAAATTCCGGGTGCAGGACGTAATTCATGAATCTAAGCCATAGTCAAACCTCAACATTCGCACAAATTTTGGTCCTCACAGGCACCGCCTTGAATGCGTTCTGTGGATCTTGACCTCTTTCTGGACGAGGTCAATTTTGTTTTACTTGTTTCGTTATCAGTTGATCATGACGAGTGTCTACAGTGCAAGTGTACTCATTCGATGGCAGCTTGGTCTTCCTTCTCTGTGACGATAACATGCCATACCTTAGGAAAATTCAGTTCCCTCTCCACGAAAAATACAGTCTTCATCTCGGCAACAAACAAAAGAAATCACTATCGGCATTTTCACTGAAACTTGCTCTGACCACGCTAACAGGAAAGAGAAAGCTTTGGGATGCCAGTTCATCGAGAGTCCAAACCTATGACTATTTATATTTCAATGGGTACGTACACACATTTGAGAGGGACGAAAAGCGTTTCTTCTGTAACTCTGAGTTTCACGGTTTTAACCGATCATAAGACAGCAACTTGACTAAAATTTTCAGAAGATAAGATTGATATAGGCTGCAAGCTTGGGTCATAGCGCGAATGGATGATCCGGGCTGATAGTGTAATTATAAAAATGATTGCGTGAGTTGGTTGATGCGGTGCAAAAATAGGCGCAAAAAAGAATACACTTTAAGCCTAGGCTCATGCAACCACATGTTCTGCTGAGGGAGGCAAGAAGAAGAAGAATGTGGTAATTATGAGCAGCACCTCACCTGCGACTGCGAGTAGTAGATATCCTTACCTAAAAAAACGCTAACGTAAACGCAAACCTTTCCGTTCTTCGGATCGTTCAAGCTGACTTTTCCCTTAGCACAAAGTACGTTATAGTTGAGACGAAGTAGTCGTGACAACCATGGCGATGTGAATTTTCGTGGAAACAGGTGCGGGAAATTCAAAATTTTGAACCAGGGATTAGTTTGGTGTCGTTCCGAAGGAATACCTTGGCGAGGTCTTTTACTCTGGAATAGCAAAAGCACAGCGAAAATGAGTTTTCGCTGTTCCCAGGTCCTTGGAAAACCTTTCCTAAACGCAGCACCGAAGACTGTAAGGGTTCTTCAGCTCCAGCACGTCTGGGAGAGGCCGATGAATTTCTTCCTCAGGACTGGAGTGCCGTGGAACTGGTCCTTTGTTTCCCAGATGGGATAGAGGGAGAAAGGCACGAAGCAGAGGACGCAGACATTGTCAACTGAAAGGCAAAACTCGCCAAAAATAAATGTCACAAGAGGAAGCCATCTCTCCACTCTCATCTCGATCTGCACGACGCTTTTTATCTCCCGCCAGTTACAAAACAATGCGAGTTTTTGCATTTTTGCAGAATTTCCATAACGAACGTCGGCCCGTTATTTTGAGCTCTGTAACGTTTTTCCGTTATCCGATAACGTCTTTTGTCACGGCTGGGAGTGAGTACCGTAAAAGTTAGCGTTATCGTACTTTTGCTAAGGATGTCCAGTGAGAAGGTTATGTGACGGCTGATGGTGAGAATTGTGAGAGGTAGCACTTATGTTCATGCCTGCACTTCCTCATTCATGCCTGCACTTGCTAACTAGCTCCGATCTTTTGTTGACGTTGATACGCTAGTCCACCTGAAGGATCTCCAGCTTCTCTCTTAGGCACAGAGGACACCTCTTGGTTATGTTACTGTAACCTGGAGTCTGGGCGATAACTGACCGACCAAGACTGTACTCGCTGTTTTGACGCTTCAGGTTCCAGACACACTTTGATAGTTCTGTGCTCATCGCATGTCTTTCATGTCTGAATGATGGTAGATGGTTGCCGTATCTCTTCTTGAATTCTGGCTCCGTAAGACCGATATACTCCTTCTGTCTGTCCTCTCCGGTTATTTGGACGGTTGCCTTGTACACAATAGAGCTGATTTGGCAGTTGCCGTCCGTCGGACACTGCGCTTTGTCTCTGCAGTTGCATCGTCAATGGGTATGAAGATAGGTACGTTTTTATTTTGTTCGCAGAACCAAATAGGCCATGTCACCCGATTACATGGAAGCGAATAATAACATTAATAATATTATTATTACAGGGTGCGGCAGAGCTCTCGGCCATTGAAGAAAATGTTCAGTATCACCTCCACCACCGCACTGCCCTCTCAACCGAATAGTCCCCCCTGCACACAACCATCACCACTACGAGTACACTTCCGTAGACGATATTGATTTATTCCTTTAGACAGCTGTTTCGCTAACACATACATTTTTTAGTGTTTATTTGAATTCGGATAGCTCAACAGTTCAGAAGTACAACTACAAAGAGTACCGAATAGAAGGCCCCGAGAACAGGAAACCAAAACCAAAACAAAAACAGCAACATCAGTGAACGATCCTCGATCCACCTGATTGATTCGATCGGAATACTGACGGAATACTGACGTTTCTTCTGACGCTCGTGTTGGGATAACTGCCTCGACACTTCTGGTCCAGACAGCAAAGACGGCTTTGGGTGCGTGACCCGTACATCAAAAAAAGCGTTTTGTTGCCTGGTCCAGAAGCCACGAGCACGTATATCCACACGAGCACCGTCAGCTGAGCTTCCCGAGACGGCTTCACCACCCAGCGGCATCAGCGGTGGCTCAATCTCGACATCGCAAACAACACTAGCGAGTGCATGGGCAGTGCCTGCTGGAAGGGACATCCCAACACTTCTCTGACAGGTGACAATTTCCACAAGTAAAACATGCACCTCAAAAAAAGTAGCCAAGTGAAGGAGTGACAAAAAAGAAGAAAAAAGCTCACACTCTAGACTCGAATACGAGAGTTTCGTACTCAGGCCATCTGCTCGAGCTGGACCCTTCGAAACTGGAGTGCGCTACAAGCTTGCTAAGCCAACTCCGCATGCACTTTTCTCGAACGTAGGATGCGCGAGAACCTGCGCAGAAGACGAGTTTAGAAATAGGCGCGAGCCACCTTAAGGACCTGCCAAGAAAGCCCTGACCATTGACATTGCTGTACCTGGTGATCCATGCGTTGCTGAAAAGGATTTTGAGAAAAATGACAAGTATCAACATCTTGCTCTCGAAAGCCATCGGCTATGGCAAGTTTCAAAGCCATATTCTAACGATAGCCAGTGGCAAATAAGAGATAATAGTGTGGGAGAGGAGAAAGAATGGGGAATAATTGGGTGGGCAGTTAATGACTACTTAAGTGTACAGGTAGGGGTGGTCGCTACGCGAGCATACAGAGTTGTGGAACAGCAGGGATATCTGGGATTCAAAGAGAGTACCAAAAGGGACTTCGCGAAGCTGGGTGGGCAAGCAATGAAAGTAATGAAGGGAATTGTACAGGGGAGAATGGAGATCAGTCCTCGGAGTAGGCAGGTGCCTAGTACGAGAGCGACGTAAATTGTACGAGGGTTTGCACACTGCGAGCAGTATGCAGCGAGATTATATGTGGTGGGGCATAATTGTGGTGCAGAGAATGTGCGAAGAGTATAATTATTATGTTGAACTAAAAGCGTTAAAATAATGTTGGCCATTTGATGCGATGCAAAAGACGGGAGTATTCTATATGTGTGTAAAGTGGAAGATGGAGACATATCCTGGCGGCTTTCCGCTGGAGTCGTTCTAGCCTGTCAAAAAAAGTGTGTGACAATGGTGTGAAAGCATTGCTCGCATATGAGGATATAGGTAGTACGTATGTCTGATAGATGTGAGATAAAGAATCACTGGTGAGAGTAGACCTTAGTCTAAAAAGAAATTGAAAGACTTGAGTGATTTTTTGACTATTTACTCAAAATGCTCCGTCCAACGGAGGTCATGTTGAAAGATTATTCCGAGATGTTTGTGTTTTTGTGCTACGGTAAGCGGAGTATTCCTGAGGGTGATCTGGGGTAGCTGTTCAGGGGGGCGGTTATTGTGGTAGCACTGGAGAATGACTGTTTTCTTCGCGTTAGCTAGCAGGTTGAGACTCAGATTGTTCCTGTGGTAGTTGGGACTTTGGGCACTGTTTCCAGTTGCCAGGATACCAGGGTGATGAGGCCGGTAAATGCATGAATAGGTGCTGGCTTAAATTAAAGGCAGTGCCTGGCTCTAGTCCATCGCCATAGACTCACCAACTCATGAACACACCTCTTCTTCACATAGGTTGGGAGTTGAACCCAGATCTTCATCGTAAGCAGTCAGAATATTATAACCACAACCCCAAAAATGTAGAGATAATTCGCGGGTTTGTGATCAAAACCTAAAATTGCTTTGTATTGCTTTCGTTAATTTTTACATCGGAAGTAAAAAGGGCGATCATGCTCAATGTATTGATGACAATGGAAAGGGAAACAGACTAAGGACAAGATAAGATAACCTGGCTTAAGGGAAGTGAAGAAAACAGTGAGTCTAGGAATCTCTCCTTAGATCATCTTAACATTGTTCATGAAAGTAAACTTTCAATGGACGTGCGAATTGAGATGTGCTAATAAGGCAGGACAACTAGAGGGGAATGCTTCCTGGGAAATTTATAAACCATAAGCAAAGGCTGCAAAACTGGCCGGAATTATAACTGTCATGTCTACAGAGGCAGTGCGCCTTAACCTGCAATAGTGCTCAAATGCCAAGAATGAGCAGAGCATAGCACGCAAGAGGTACACAAAAGGAAGTAAAAGAGGGCTGTTTCGTTGTTACTCAGAGTTTCATGGCAAAACAATCATCAGACAACAGTTTCTGATGATTGCTTTTGTGCCATGAAGCTCTGAGTAACAAGCGAAACAGCCCTATTTTACTTCCTTTTGCGCACCTCTTGCGTAACTGTCATGTCTAAGTGTTCCTAAACCTTCACAGAATAATTTACAATGCCCTAAGAAGCCCTTACTAGCGGTCAAAAACTGAAGGAGGGTGCAGCGCGCCGGTATGCTACTTTGTGGAGATCCTTGCAGTGCGCCCTCTCTGCCATGTACATGTATATAATTAGTATAACCTACCTGTTGCATCATTGATACTGTATTGGGTTACATAACATTATAATTGCACTATGTACTCACTGAATTCCAAGGATGAGAAACATGGTGCCGAGGAGTCCAATCATTGATAGTCCACTGCCAATAATTGATATATATTTAAGAGCTTCTTCAGTGGAGTCCTTCCGAGTCTAAATATTGGAAACAGCAGCACAGAGAACACAGGAGTTATTATAACTCAGCCTGTAGATCCGAAAAGTGTGCTTGTGTCGTTTCGCGCAGTACTGAGAAAAGTGCACTTGAAAGTTGCATTTTCCGCATGTATAACTCACTTATTGAAACACCCATAACTCTGTGAAAGATAAAGATTTTTGCACCTACATGAAGGTTTTTTTGCTGAATGCTCTCCTGGGATACAGCAATGTCATGGTATAGATAACTCAAAATGTTCAACAATGACATAAGCCCCTTTTTGGATCTAGAGGCTTAATTATATTCGAGAAACGGAAAATGGCCGTATGGCCTCCTGATGACTTCGGACAACACAGTCTGAATGAGTCTCATGCGAACCGTGAATATGTAAGTTGTTAAAGTTTAATATTCGGCGAGGAGACAATAATATTAATGTCGCAATAAGGAATCACTGACTTGATTTTTACTGTTGAGGCAACGAACTGAAATAATAGAAACCAAAAACTAAGTGAGCGGATGTACCTCCGGTAGCGGGGTTAGAACCGATTCCCTCCTTTCTGAGTGCTGCCACAAGGCTGGGCCGGGAAAGTGAGTCAGTTTTCTGTAATCCGCTCCAGGTGGCAAGGTTTTGCAAGTTCTCAAAGGGCAGAAGCGCCAGATCGACACACATTCGTTAGTGGCCCCGTTGCTACAAATTTGATCCACTATCTGCTTCAAATGACGCATTCAAAGACAGTTTGGGGCGGAGCTCCAAAAACTGCATCCGCTCTCACTTTCAAAAACATAATGCTCAATTGGAAGCCCATTGCATCCCACTTTTCGTTTGTAAGTTAGTTTTCTAGTACTTCAAGGTCCTGAAAGGTCAAGCTAGCTGTCGAGTGAATTCCGAGAGCGACACGTATGTGAGTCTGATTGATACCACTCGGTATCAAAATAGAACATATTGTCACACTAGCACTACACAGGTAAGAGCAGCGTGGCGGACAAGAAGATACTCAGCTACTCGTAATCAGTTCCATTTTTGCATAACGGTCAAATCGCTTACCTCGCGGATCGCTCGCCAGGCTGAGATCGCAGTTCTCTCATCTCCAGCTCCACGCTCACAGTATCCAGTGCATCATGGAGATTTGCAAGTGCTTTACCAGTCGTCGTTCAAAATTGATTCCTGCAAAGAACGGTGACTGGTTTGAACCACACAGGTAGTCGTGCTGCCCACACGAAGTCCTATAGAGAAGGCGACTGTCACGATCGACTTCCATTTAGGAAATAGGAAAGCAGCGGGGAGGAAGAGAGATGAGCCTGCGAAAGCGAGAGAGTTGATCCCGAGTGAAACTAATTTTCACCAGCGCCGAGAGCAGCGATAAGGAGGATCAGAAAAAGTATGATACCTTCCTCGGACAATATATTGCTCATAGCTAGTTGTCATTCTATTTATTACCTTCCATCGTGCCAAGTTAATCACCTCAAGTGCACGCGTTGTCCAAAACCTACTTGAAGTAAGTACCATATTGTGGAAATATGAGCCACAATAGTGATGACGAGGACCAAGTGTGTTTTAGTGTGCTGCTCTTATAATAATTATTATAGTAAAATATAATCAACACAATAAATAGAGTAAGCTGCGCACTCAGTACAAACACCATTAGCAAAACTTGTTTTCATGTAAATACTTATATACTCTATTTATTGCATCGATTACATTTTGATCTCCACGTAAGCTTTTTATAGTAAAATAGGCAATAATAGCCGTCTAGCATTCTTACAAATAGGACAGCAAAATTGGTCAGGTGGTTGCATCGGCAAACTATTCTGCGTCCCATTACACCACTGCGTGAAGTAGTGCAGTCCTGGTCACTCCAACCGCCTTTACCATCATCTGAAAAGAAACAAGATCATTTGTAGAACTTGGTTAACTAAATCTGCCCATTACAAAAAAGCCCTTTATAAAGCCCATGAAAGGTCTCTTCATCAATCACAAGTAATGTTATTATCCCGAAGACACAAGTAGTGCATCTACATGATACCAGCAAGCACCGAAGGACGCACTCATTGAACCACCAATGTTTTTATCTGCAACGTCACGAGGGTGCTGGCAAAAGTCCTGCTGCAAAAAAATGCAGCCCAACACATGGCTAAAAACGTGAATTTTTGGACTTGGAGCAAATTCTGCACACTTTCGCGCTTTTCCATGATACGACAAGGTGCACACGGTCTGCTCACATTCAAATACAGTGCTGCCAAAAATGACAGCGTGGAAAAAAAAACAAGGGTACATTTTCGGCCATAAATCTTGAACAGCTGGTCAGATCGAGACAACATTTTCAGATATTTTGCAGCTATTCAAGCTCTTTCAACTGATGTAGCACTCGATATGAATTTACAAATTAGATTTTTCAGGGATATTACGACCAGGCTGCCCCCAGCCTGGTCTTAAATTTCATATGGCATTCAATTTACAAGCGCAAAGGCTGCCGGTCGGATGCAACGAACTACAGACCCATCTCCCTACTGTGCTGTATTTCAAAGCTGTTTGAGCGCATTGTGTACGATCAGCTATATCGACACTTGTCCCCGTACTTGCATACCATGCAGTCTGGTTTCCGGCGAGGGGACTCCACAGCTCTGCACCTAGTCCACCTAATCCAAAACATCATGCAGTCCCGTCATTTGAAAGAACATATTGGCATGTTCTTCTTTGACCTGGCGAAAGCCTTTGACACTGTTTGGCATAGAGGCCTGATTGCCAAGTTGGGTGCCTATGGCATTGGTGGCAACCTGCTTTGTTTCTTTGAAAGCTACCTAACTGACAGGTTACAGGCTGTACGCGTCGGCAACACCCTCTCGTCTCCCCAGGCAATTAATTCTGGTGTGCCACAGGGGTCAATCCTGGGGCCACTATTCTTTTTAGTCTACGTCAATGATCTACCGATGTCTGTCCCTAATGTTTCACTGTTCGCCGATGACACCACAGTTTCCGCTTCAAGTAGTTGCAAGCAATTGCTAGTCAATGACCTCCAGAAAAAGATAAACTCCACCATTTCTTGGATGTCGACTTGGAAGCTGAGACCGAACACTAGTAAGACCAAAGTGATGTTCTTCTGTAGCGGTGCTAGTGATCAGTTCTGTAATGTGTCTTTGTCATGTCCTGGTAGCTCATCGACCATAGAAATTGTCCATGAACATAAGCACCTTGGTATAATTATTGACGACTGTCTAACTTGGGCTCCTCATGTAGACTATATTTGCAAGAAAACTAGTAGTGTTCTCGGCATACTATATCCTCATCGTTCTCATTTGCCAAATACATGCCGTTCTATGTTTTATCGCTCGTATCTATTACCTATTTTCCAGTATGCATGTCAGTCTTGGTGTAGTCTAAGTCAACATCTTGTGAACAAACTTGAAATCCAACATAAATCTCTTCTTAAAATATTGTTTAACAAGCAGCGTTTATTTCCTAGTCTTGAGCTCTATTGTATCAGCATTACTCAGCCACTGCAAGATAATCGCAAACAGCAGCTTTGCGTGTTGATCCACAGAATTCGCCTAGGTAAAATTCCCATTCATCTCTCCGTATTCAATTGGTTTTCCCCGTCCCGGTCCACTCGTAATAGTCTCTCACTTCCCCGTGCTAATTCAGCCGCATTTACCAACTCTCCTCTGTTTTTGTCCTACAGCCTTTGGCTGCAACTTCCCCAGCATGTTAAGGGGGCACATCACCCAAAAATTTCATATGGCATTCAATTGACCGTAACTTTGGTGTTTCTCAGTGGATTTGAGTGAAATTTTGACCACACACTCCTGCCACTATGCTGGCCCTCAGGACATGATTTACAAGTTCTTGCGTCTCACTGACAGGCTTTCCAGGCCGGAAAAACTCAAATTTCCGGCATAGTGCTACGGTGTGCGAGCCACCCAGGAGCCAAACAAATGCATTTACATTTTTTTCACATTTTCGTGCCCATTCTGTCCGTGCGCGGGACCCAAACCTAAAACAAGTCCAGAAGCAGCCATGGGTGGTGGGGTAGGGCCCCTCAACGTGGCCCTGGAATCTGTCACAACGGAACGAGTGGGCGTTCTTTCACGGACTCCCACAGACCCAAGGCAATTTTTGAATTTTTTTAGGTTTGGCACGTGCTACGAGGTCGTACCTTTGATACAACATCCAGTGCTGGGACCTCCACAGCAAGCCATTTCCATAGCGCTGCAAACCAAATCCAGGATGCCCTCAGAAACCGGCAAAGACTGCCACTCACGTTTCACTACTGCCTAGTACTGAATCCTACCTGACTTCTTGACACGACTCAAACTTGCCAAAGTCACTAAATCAACGTCAACTACAATAATCAAGCCACATATCTGCAACGTCACGAGGGTGCTGGCAAAAGTCCTGCTGCACGGCGGCGGGCTTCGCCCGCCGCCGTGCAGCCCAATACGTGGTTTTTTAACGTGATTTTTTGGACTTTTTGGACTTGGGGCAAAATTCTGCACACTTTCGCGTGTTTCCATAATACGACAAGTTGCGCACGGTCTGCTCACATTCAAATACAGTGCTGCCAACAAATGACAGCATGCAACAAAAAAATCTTTCCTTGCAAGGGCACATTTTCGGCCATAACTCTTGAACGGCTGGTCAGATAGGGACACAGTTTTCAGCGAATTTGCAGCTATTCATGCTCTTTCAACTGACGTAGCACTCAATATGAATTTACAAATTCGATTTTTCAGCGAATTTTTGGGTGATGTGCCCCCTTAAGGGGGCACATCACCCAAAAATTTCATATGGCATTCAATTGACCGTAACTTTGGTGTTTCTCAGTGGATTTGAGTGAAAATTTGACCACACACTCCTGCCACTATGCTGGCCCTCAGGACATGATTTACAAGTTCTTGCGTCTCACTGACAGGCTTTCCAGGCCGGAAAAACTCAAATTTCCGGCATAGTGCTACGGTGTGCGAGCCACCCAGGAGCCAAACAAATGCATTTACATTTTTTTCACATTTTCGTGCCCATTCTGTCCGTGCGCGGGACCCAAACCTAAAACAAGTCCAGAAGCAGCCTTGGGTGGTGGGGTAGGGCCCCTCAACGTGGCCCTGGAATCTGTCACAACGGAACGAGTGGGCGTTCTTTCACGGACTCCCACAGACCCAAGGCAATTTTTGAATTTTTTTAGGTTTGGCACGTGCTACGAGGTCGTACCTTTGATACAACATCCAGTGCTGGGACCTCCACAGCAAGCCATTTCCATAGCGCTGCAAACCAAATCCAGGATGCCCTCAGAAACCGGCAAAGACTGCCACTCACGTTTCACTACTGCCTAGTACTGAATCCTACCTGACTTCTTGACACGACTCAAACTTGCCAAAGTCACTAAATCAACGTCAACTACAATAATCAAGCCACATATCTGCAACGTCACGAGGGTGCTGGCAAAAGTCCTGCTGCACGGCGGCGGGCTTCGCCCGCCGCCGTGCAGCCCAATACGTGGTTTTTTAACGTGATTTTTTGGACTTTTTTGGACTTGGGGCAAAATTCTGCACACTTTCGCGTGTTTCCATAATACGACAAGTTGCGCACGGTCTGCTCACATTCAAATACAGTGCTGCGAACAAATGACAGCATGCAACAAAAAAATCTTTCCTTGCAAGGGCACATTTTCGGCCATAACTCTTGAACGGCTGGTCAGATAGGGACACAGTTTTCAGCGAATTTGCAGCTATTCATGCTCTTTCAACTGACGTAGCACTCAATATGAATTTACAAATTCGATTTTTCAGCGAATTTTTGGGTGATGTGCCCCCTTAAGACATCAACATGTCTTTCCAGCTTTAAAAATGCACTCCGATCGCATAATGTAGTACGATAGGATCTCATTGCTGGATTCTTGTCTATCCTTCTTTCTTCTCTTTTTCTATATTCCTTTCTTTTCTTTTCTTGCCGTGGTTGGCTATCACCCCTCTCTTGCACTTTGCGTGCCAATTGGTCATGAACCACGAGTTGAGTGAAATAAATGTAAATGTAAATTGACCGTAACTTTGGTGTCTCTCAATGGATTTGAGTGAAATTTTCACCACACACTCCTGCCACTATGCTGCCCTCTGGACGTGATTTAAAAGTTCTTGCGCCTAACTGACAGGCTTTCCAGGCCGGAAAACTAAAAATTCCGGCATAGTGCCACGGTGTGCGAGCCACCCAGGAGCCAAAAAAATTCATTTACAATTTTTTTCACATTTTCTTGCCCATTCTGTTCGTGCGCGGGACCCAAACCTAAACAAGTCCAGAAGCAGCCATGGGTGGTGGGATAGGCCACTCAACGTGGCCCTGGAATCTGTCCAAACGGCACGAGTGGGCGTTCTCTCACAGAATCCCACAGACCCAAGTCAATTTTGAATTTTTTTAGGTTTAGGGCGTGCTACGAGGTCGTACCTTTGATACAACATCCAGTGCTGCGACCTCCACAGCAAGCCATTTCCACAGCGCTGCAAAGCAAATCCAGGATACCCTCAAAAATTGGCAAAAACTATCACTCAAGTTCCACTGCTGCCTAGTCCTGAATCCTACCTGACTTCTTGACACGATTCAAACTCTGCCAAAGGCACTAAATCAACGTCAACTACAATAACCAAGCCACATATCTGCAACGTCACGAGGGTGCTGGCAAAAGTCCTGCTACACATCGGCGCGCGAAGTCCGCCGCCGTGCAACCCAAGACATGGCTAAAAAACGTGATTTTTTGGACTTTGATGCCGTCATCAACCAGCCTGCTGCTATTCGTCTGGTCTTCCAGGTGCCAATTTAGCACTGAGAGGAAATTGTTTTGGAGACCTCTGATCTCGGAGGCTAGAAAACAGCTCGATCAGCAAATTCCGTCTAACATTGGAGTGGCGCAAGGACCCCTCTGCTAGCTCTTATGCATATTGAAAGTAAAAAGCAGAAAATCTAAGAAAACTGTCCAGAACCATAACCTGTCGACCAACCGGCTTTGACCCTACCCAGTCATGAGACAGCAGTAAATGGCCACAGGCGAAGCAACAGTGGAGACGCGGAGATGAGAAACTAGCCTTGCACCCGAAACGCCAACACAACAAGTCATATCTTTAGTTACCCTGGATTTCGTTCAAGCAATTGGGATCTCCTATGAGGTCAGCAAAGGACATTTGACCACGTTTAACATCATCAAAGTGTGCAGTTCTACTGTACAATGGAAACTCTATATACAGCAGTCGCACTTAACCCTCTTTCCATGTTGACGTTTTTCCTACGTTCCCGGTAGTATTTCGCTGAGTATATTTGAGTTCAGACCATGTTCTCTTCGCTTGTAATAATTATTATCATTGCTGAATACAAACTACGTTCTTCAGCAGAAAACTGGAGTATAACGTAGCAGACATGAAACCGGCAACTGAGTATTTCCGATATCGCTGAAATATGGAAAAAATGAATCATGTTGGGTTGGCACACACAGATGCTTTCTTACTTGACACACATATACAAACTGTGTTTTTTTATGGAGTTGTAACTAGATATTTTGTCAACTATTGTTCGAATAGGCTGGCTAGATGGGCACGTACGCGGGGTTCATTCGGATCCCGGACACCTATTTTTGATTCTCCTAGAAGCAAAGCAGAAGCAACTTGCTTAGTTTACCCCCTGCTAGCACTGCTCAGTGTGGTAAGCGCAAAATCATCTCCACAGCAAGTATGTGTGAATAATTACCATCAGAAATAAAGCTTTTCTTTTGGCGCTGTTTGCATGATGCAAGTAGCACTCGATGGTTGCTTACATGTGTCAAAGTCCCAGAAAACGCATTTGGCTTCACCGTTAGAATCCTTACAAACAAAAAGAATCAGAGAGTAGAATCAGCAGTGTGTTATTCATAAATCTCAGGGACAGAAAAAGAAAAATGTGTAAAAAACATTGCTCATCATCACCAGTAGTCGAAGCAGATCCCTTGGCTAGTGGTCAGCTGTATTCTTGGCACGGGGCTAGCGTGTAGCTGTCATAAAAGAGAACATTTTCTTAAAACTTTCTTAATACTTGCTTCTTTTCATAACTACACAAGCTTGGTGGAGGGTTGGGAGGAGGGGGTGGGGGGGGAGGGGTAGGGGGGGGGGGGGAGGGTTGATCAACGTGCCCACATAACTTCACCCACAAACTACGTGGATATGCAGTAAATTTGGAGCATGTATGAGAATATCAAAGTATGTGCGCAAGTCAAACAATCCAATTATTCTCAAAAATGTCCTGTAGGTTTCCTTTGGAATGTAGCTTGATTGTACAAAGTACTTGTCCAAGTTGCCGGAGGAAACTAGCATTTTTTTAATATGGATCTAAAATGGATCACAGTTATTTCTGCAGTAAATTCAAAACCTGCGCTGAGAACGTCAGTCCCTTTTGCATCACAGGTCGCGCCAAAAATGCTGGTGGCGAATGGCGAACCTTGCCTTTTGAAATCGAAAGTCACCACCATTGTTTTTTCTCGTTCCCCCCCCCCCCAGGCCCAGGAAATCGTCGAAGGTGAACCAATTTTGGCTTAATTTATTTTATTTGAAGCTTGTTCGTGTGCTTTGTGGCGCTGCTCGTTGGTAGACTCATACAAAGTGTCAATTTTCGACCATTTTGAAGGATATGCGATTTTCAAAAAGGACCCTGCAAAGTCAATCTATACGTAAGAGTGATCTGTCCCTTTTTTGAGGGAAATCAGAGAGATCTTCTTGTGAACATACCTTGGTATGATCTCTCGAACAAGGACTTCGAAGTAGGTATTGGATCAATCAGGACGCAAAACAGGAACCTTCTTAATTGGCCTGTGTTTGCCACTGAGTTACGATAATAGTGTTAGGTACCTCCTCCTGTACCTTTTCTAGCTGGCCTGCATGTACTCGCGTACTCAACTTTTGTATCCTTTTGTTCCGGTGGCCTGGGTAGCTACTTGCGCGCCCATAATTTCCATAGCTACCCAGGCCCTTTATCTTGCCGTTCAGACTTGATCTCTTTCTCTTTCTCACTCTTCAATGTAGTCATTTCGTTCGTCTTGGTATCTTGTTTCGTCGTCTATAATAAATGTCGTTCCCACTAACCTGTTCCCGTTGTCCGTTGTAATGTCTGGAGAATATGTAGTCAGTCGTCCTTTTCGTACTCAACATTGGCGCCCGACTATTGATCGACCCACGACCCTGAGACCATCCCACGCCCAGTCGTCCTCAACCGCCATTCGTCTCGTCATGTCAACCTCGTCTCGTCCATGTCAATCTCGTCTCGTCGCCAACCTCGTCTCGTCTATGTCAACCTCGTCGAGTCGTCAGTAATCCTCGTCTCGTCTCCAACCTCGTCTCTTCTATGTCAACCTGGTCTTGTCCAAGGCATGCAGGTCAGCTACTTTCTTTATTTCTCTCTTTCTTTTTCATCCGTCCTTCGTGGACAATAATTATTATTTTTGGTTTAATTTATTTTGTGATTTTTGTAGTGCGTGTGCACGCGAGTGTCACTCATAAATATTAGGGGCCCGGTTGTGAGCCACGCTCTAATTTTTGATGTTAGTGTATAACTAGGCTGTATTAGCCGTGCAAAATACTGGTAAGCAGAATACAATTTAGGTTCCTCATCAAACTCCAATACTGTAAACCGGAAAGTCTAACGTTTTTGTAAGTTCAAGGTTATGGAAAGCGCAAAGAGGGGAAGGTAAGCGCAACGAAAACGAGCAAAAGCTACAGTCCCATCGGAACAAAGAATGTCGATTGTTACTGAACGATGACGAGACCAGTACGATATTTGACAAAGCGGTCTAACTACAATTCGAAGGAGCAAAGCAGCACACCACCCAACTTGGGTGGGTCATAAATATCAAAGATAAGTAAAGAAAGGGGAAGCTTTGCGAAAACGAATTATACAAGCCGAAAGCCAGACTCCTACAGTACTCCTCATGCCTGACATTGTGATGGACTAGTTGACTACAAAACAAGTTGTTTCACACGACGTACGTTTCGCCGTATGGTTCGTGACGGCTCATCAGGTGTGCAGTTTGAAACTCGGATGTTGAGCCATAAATAAATGTAGAAAGGAAAAGGACACAATACGAGTTAAGAGTAACTCTCTATCACTGTAACTGGATACTATATACAGTCAGAAAGTGCAATAACTAGGCAACTGACAAGAGTACTGAGGCATTCGGCGTCCTGACACCTAGCTTCAACACATCTCCGTAGCGCTAACCGACAGCCTTCCAACTTGGAATATACACTTGTATATAGTATCCAGTTACAGGGATGGCGAGTTACTCTTAACTCGTATCCATATGTCCCTTTCCTTTCTACATTTATTTATGGCTCAACATCCTAGTTTCAAATTGCACACCTGATGAGCCGTCACGAACCATACGGCGAAACGTACGTCGTGTGAAACAACTTGTTTTGTAGTCAACTAGTCCATCACAATGTCAGGCATGAGGAGTACTGTAGGAGTTTGGCTTTCGGCTTGTACAATTCGTTTTCGCAAAGCTTCCCCTTTCTTCACTTATCTTTGATATTTATGACCCACCCAAGTTGGGTGGTGTGCAACTTTGCGCCTTCGAATTGTAGTTAGACCGCTTTGTCAAATATAGTACTGGTCTCGTCATCGTCCAGTAACAATCGACATTCTTTGTCCGATGGGACTATAGCTTTTGCTCGTTTTCGTTGCGCTTGCCTTCCCCTCTTTGGTTTTTGTAAGTGTAACGTTTTTGTAATTTTGGCATGATTACGTGCAGAAAGTCTAAAGATGGCTAGCTGGCCAACCATCTGTATGCGCATCTTTACACAGACATCTAGCGATAACGTTTTTTGGAATAACGAAAAATAATTGGTCGTTAAAACGCTAGACTTTCCGGTTTTACAGTAGTTATTTTTGTGCCATTTTTGAAGGAGCGTTTGGGCCTGCCGTTATTGGCAATGTACACACTATAAATAGTGCAGGAACGTTGTAATAATCTGCAGTGCATTTTTAGTATACACCTTTGTGAGGCCCGTGCATTGTGCGTGTGTGCTTTTTCTCTTCTTCCTCAGTAATTGTTTCCCACTTTTTCTGATGGTCTTATTATTTCCTCTCGGGGTTGCAACACAGCTTAGCCTCTCTCTCTCTCACTCTCTCTCTCTCTCTCTCTGTCTCTCTATCTCTCTGTCTCTCTCTGTCTCTCTGTCTGTCTGTCTCTGTCTCTGTCTCTCTCTGTCTGTCTGTCTGTCTCTGTCTCCCTCCCTCTCTCTCTCTCTCTCTCTCTCTCTCTCTCTCTCTCTCTCTCTCTCTCACGCACAGGAGCAGATTTTGAGGCTGAAGACTCTTCAGGTGCAAGGCAAGTGGTTGGAGTGGACATCCGTGATGTGGCAGGACCTCTCGTGGAAATCCCTTTTGTACGGTGGTACTGGTAAGGATTTGAAATTTCTTCTCGCATCAACCCTCGACGTGCTACCTTCTCCGACGAACCTACACCGTTGGGGAAACACCGTAGTGGATCCGTACTGTAGTTTGTGCCGTGCCTGGGCCTGTACTACGCGCCACGTGCTTGGCGCTTGTCGCGTAGCGCTGGACCAGGGACGTTACACCAGTCATCGTCAGGAACATGCGTGAGGAGATTCGAATCCGCGCTGCTGCAAACACCGTACAAACCGAAAAGTCAAATGAGCTTGACTCCATCTCGTTTTGCAAGGCGGGAGAGAAGCCAGTTCGCGTTCAGCCCAGACAAAAGTTGGTTACGACTGATCTCCTGTCAGCGGCCTCAGACTGGAAACTTCTTGTTGACTCAGTTAGTGCAAAGATTTCTTTCCCTAGCTGTGTTGCACTTACCACCCTAAGACCAGAATATAAGTTCTGTACTCTACGAGTCGTAGGATTGTATTCTGGATGGAATTGACAGTTTGTGCTGAGGACAGATTCAGTGTCAGTAACTCGCGGAAGGACAGGCGGTATGCGGATCTGGCCGATCAATGCCGAGCAAACGGGTGGCAGATCGTTTCTTTTTCGGTGGAGGTAGGTGTGCGTGGTTTGATCCCGGACTCTCTTCGGAGGCCTCTGCAAGCGCTTGGGTTTTCTAATCGAAGAATAAAATGTATTTGTAATTTGGGCAGTAAGACGTCTCTGCGAAGCAGTTACATCATCTGGTTACGACGTCAACAAAAACACTGGTCGGAAGATCCACTTTTCTGAGGTACTGTATGTGGTGCTCCGTTTATTGAGGTGCGTTGAAATTTATTCTCTTTATCTTATTATTAAATATTTTGTGAAGTTGGTTGCTCCAACGAGGAGCAAACGCTTCTTGCCGAACTTGACACTTGACTGACTCACGACTGCCATCCGGAGCACGTCGCACCTTCCGCTCGGCAAACCTGAAAGAAAGCACCACTCCCTGCTCAATACACAGTGTTTGCAGGGAATTTACCCCTCATCAGTTGAGCTTGAGAAGACTGAGGAAGATTGTGCCTGAAAAGCACCACTTATATACTGCCCTCCAGGTCAAACCATCACCAGGGATACAAACTTACAGAGACGCTTTGTTTCCAGCGCGACAAACACCTCGTGAAGCCCCAGGTAGCAGCGTGAGTCAGAGTCGCTCATGGAGTTGTGCTAAACAGACGTTGAGAGCCAGTATAGCTATTCACAACACTGTCACCTCCAACAACATTAGGGTTAGGGTTAGGGTTAGGGTTAGGGTTAGGGTTAGGGTTACTGTCTATGTAAGTTTGTATCCCTGGTGATGGTTTGGCCTGGAAAGCAGTATAAAAGTGGTGCTTTTCAGGCACAATCTTCCTCAGCCTACTCAAGCTCAACTGATGAGGGGTGAATTCCCTGAAACACTGTGTATTGAGCAGGGAGTGGTGCTTTCTTTCAGGTTTGCCGAGCGGAAGGTGCGACGTGCTCCTCGTGTGCTCCGGATGGCAGTCGTGAGTCAGTCAAGTGTCAAGTTCGGCAAGAAGCGTGTGCTCCTCGTTGGAGCAACCAACTTCATGACTCTTACCGCCGAAGTCGCAACTTCTAAGTTCTTAGTATTTGTTTTCTATAATTTCCCCATATCAGTTCCTATCAGTTGCTGTAAACACCTTGAGTGGCGAGCGCTTGCTCGAGCTTTGAACCCGGGTTCTTAATCCACCATACCCAGTTCGCAAGGCTGGGCGGGGTTGTGAGCAGGCTTTCATTTAATCTTTTTTTTATATTTCTCATTTATTTCTTTTCATCGTATTACAAAAATTCTGTGCATTTTTTCTCCATCTGCGCATAAAATCTAGACTGACAACCTTCTTGTTGAAATCATGCACCTGCTTTCAGGCGTAAAAACCCTGTTGTAGAGGTCTTAGTTCTCATTTGTTAGACTTACCTGTCTTTATAAATGTAACTTACTCTCTCTCTCTCTCTGGTGTACATGCACACACATATGTACGTACAGAGTACTACCACCTAAGCTTTCCACTGGTTCTAGTGATTAATCATGTCTAAATGAGGGTTGTAAGCAAATTCCCCCTAATTAGAAAGGAATGGCATGAAAATCGTGGGTGAACTTACTGCTGATTTTCCACTGAGTATATCAAATGATATGACATTCGGGTCTTTCAGGTTATCCAGAGGCTCTTTGCCGACTTGCACACTGATAATTTGAGAATCCACGGAAGTGTCGTTACTTAGGTTCGTGTCTCGGAAAAGTGTTTGTGTTTTGTAGAGAATGTAGCGCGTTGATGCCACGTTGCATAAGGAATCATTGCCGAATGATGACAAGTTCGTTGCTGTTGAGAGTGTACTTCCAGCTATCACAACAGCAACTCCAGTCAAGTTGTCGTCTTTAAATTCATTCAATTCATAGAAACACAGGAAAAGAATTAATGAGTGATAACAACGGTTGTGATGTGGATCTCAATAGAACTGTTAGTGGTAGAGTGGTCAAACACAAAGGTTGAGCTTGAAAATTATAAATGTGGTGGAGGCGACGACGGCGGCAACGGGGTTCGCGCCTTTCAACAATGCCCAGATCATGGGTCGTGAGAGATCACTTCCAAGCCAAAAGACAATGAGGCGATTGAAATCAGGAACAGAAAGCTCGAAATCAATGAGGACGAAGGATGGTCTTTATCGGAATAGGACACTTCAGTGTGTGTGTGTGTGTGTGTGTGTGTGTGTGTGTGTGTGTGTGTGTGTGTGTGTGTAATTAGTGGCGGTCAATTCATCAGCCTTGCAAGCTTTCGAATGGTTTAATCCCAGCACTAGTTGCTATGTCTAACATAGCTGTTCGCTATCATTGCTTCTGTGTTGGGAAGGTCTGAGGTCTGAGGTAAAGTAGGGTGTGTGTGTGTGTGTGTGTGTGACTGAGAGTTTGTGTGTGTGCGTTTGTGTTTGAGTTGGTGCATGTGCGGTTGTTTCACTTCCACGTTCCACGTAACACGTTCACTCTTATGTTGCGCTCTGGCTTGCGTTCCCTTGCGTCCCCTTAACACTTCTCTCACGCTTCTCTCATGCTTCTCTCGCACTTTGTTTGATTATCACCATGTAACAAGTGTGCACCTCTTTTTGTCCTCCCCATTCATTTATTATAGTGTTCATGACGCCTCGCGCTCTACTCTCCTCACTTCTGTAGTGCCAATGTCTCAATGTTTCAATGTTCCGCTATCATAGTTTGCTACAGAGCCAGTTTCATTTCGTTATTATTTTACTTCCTGATGAAGCCCCAAGGGCGAAAATTTGGAGATTTCATTTGAATACAATTTGCAGCGTCAACGACCTTTGAGTAGTCGTGGTGACTGACCATAATAGTCACTAACACTGCATGATCAACTCCAGGCCCGTCATATCAGTCTCCTCACTCTCTTACATTCTCACTGCTGTCACTCTCACCATCTTCATCCACCTTCATCTCTAATTATTGGCTCTTCCCTGCTCCTCAGCTGCATTTAGTCTTCCTAATGGACCGCTGTGAATCTTGGACAATGTTCCCACTGATCCACTGTTATCGAAACGCCTAACTAGATGTCTCTTGCACTTGTATTCCATCTCTCCTAAAGACCCAAGAAGACCAGTTCATGCAGGACAAAGCCAACGCTGTTGACACCAGGAGACCCGACGCCAGATCCTCTTTCAGCGCAATTAGACAGCTGCGAGATCTGCGTGGGGCAAGAAGTCGCGTCGTATTCAGCTGGCCAATGAGAATGGAGAGATCGTAACTGGTCTACAGTGGAACTTGGACAAGTTTCGGGACTATTTCTGACCAGTATTCTACAAAACTGCCCTGCCCAAGGAACTAGTAACCGAACAAGTGGTGGCTGAACCCCCTTCACAATTAAGGAGGTCAAGGCAGCTATTCTCAGCCAAGGGACAAAGGGAGCCGCTGGGTGTGATGGGATACGTACAGCGATGCTGCGATCCGCCATGGACATCATCGGAACATGGTCAGCAAACCTCTTTAATGCTGTGCGGATCTTATGCCATTGCCCAAACGATTTGAGATGCAGAGTGCTGGTGCCAATTTACAAGCCTGGCTAGCAGTTGGGAATACCAAAGAGCTACCGACCCATCTCGCTATCATATGTGGTGAGGAAAGTGCTGACATGATTGTATTCTGAACCATCGAACGCGGACAGCAGCAGACAGCTACGTAAGGGAGTGTCAAGCAGGATTCAAACCAGGCCGCTCTACAGCAGACGGCGTGTTCTATTCAAGAATAACATGTGAACGCGCAATACTTGGTGATTGGTCATTACTAAAGTAACACCAGTTACATACACAGCAGCCATCTGCATTCTTCAACTTTATTGGTACCTCTCCGGCCACGATATGGGAGAAATCTAGAAGGTAAGGTGTTGATTAAGAGAATAGGCAAAAAGGTGAGAATTCTGTGTAGCGCAATTGTGAGTTTATGAAGGAATGTTGTGCGAATAGAACACCACTTCAATTGTTGGCCGCTCCGGTTCACGTTCCGAGCTTAACCAACGCGAAGCAGACTACTCGGACTACAGACTACTAACGACTACTTGGCACATCCGCAGTTCATCCCGGAACCGCTACGACGAACGTGGCCTCCCGCGTGGGTCTCCATATCTGGTGAACACCTCACTGAGGCAGCCGCTGACCAACGGTCCCTCGCTATCGTCTCTCGACATATACAGAGAGAGATCCGAGACATCATTTTGCCAAAGCTACTCGAGTTTCCTTCCTCAGAGGCAGGACTGCAACGAGACAGTGCCGCCCGAGATCGACAGCTTTCAGATCTCGCCAAATGCAGCGAAACCATTATCAAGCTTTGTCAGCTCGACCTCAGAGATGAGGATTTACGCTCGCGCATCCAGACGGCCGTGCTCGCGCAGCTTACCGAACAACAGGACGCAAGAACAGGTCTCGCGTTCACAGACTGCTTGCCCGCAGCACAGAGACGACTTGCGCAGCATCTGTGCACTTCTGATTTATTCACCTACGAGGACAGGCGCTTCATCGCCATATCTGGTGAAGTTCTCCACGCAAGTGCGCAAGCTGGTTATGCTCCCGACGGGAGACAACAGCCCACTCGCGGTGGGAGTTACAATCGACCCAACCGAGGAAGAGGGAGAGGCCACGTTACGTAGCGGTTCGGCCAGTCATAATTACCGACACAACGGAATGGGCAAGGATCGGCGCCTCGCCAATGATCCTGGACTGGTTGAGAAATGATTTCCCGATAAAATTCAAACAGTACCAGCCAGCGTTCCACCAAGGCAACACGCCAATGCCGAAAGAGAGCAGAGACTTCCTCACGGCTCACATACAAGAATTGCTCGTACAGCGAGTAATCGAGAACACACAAACGCCACCGCATTGCATCTCTCCAATAGCAACGGTGCCGAAGAAGAATGAAAAACTCCGAATGATTTTAAATCCCAAACGCCTGAACCAGTGCGTAGTGGCACCACGCTTCAAGTACGAGAACCTCGACAAGCTGCAGGATATCTTACAACCAGGAGACTGGCGCAGCTTCCTCGACCTTCAAAACGTCTTCTTCCACGCGCTGGTACACCCAGAGTCTCGGCCATATCTTGGGTTCCAGTGGAACGGAAGCTATTACCAGCACCGCGTCCTGCCATTCGGACTATCTGCCAGCTCGTGGGCATTCACAAAAACGAGGCGGGAAGTCATGAGACACATAAGATCGTCGATGGGTGCCCGAGTAACGTCCTACTTAGACGATGGGTTGCTCATCGTGGCTCCTCTCCAGGAGTGCGCCTCGCTAACAGAGCAAGTGACAGCGCTGTTTCCCCGACTCCAACTTCGGATCAACAAGGAGAAGTCTTCCCTCCATCCAGCCCAGAGCGTGGTCTATCTGGGGATGCGATTGGACACGTAATCACGCCATGTGCTGGTCCGAGTCCCATCAGACAAACTGCGCACGAATTGCAGGACAACGAGCCGCCTGCTGAGAGATTCTCAGGATAGACCAGTCCGTGCACGAGTCGTTGCACAAGTTGCAGGACGAATAACTGCAGTAACGAAGGCTGTTGCGCCAGCAAGACTCGTGCTACGGGCATTACACCGAGATTTGGCGAAGGCTTAAACAGAGCCGTACCCCTGTCGAGACAGTCCAGGACCGACTTGGAGCACTTCCTGGAGCGCATCCAGACTTGGCATGGAAGGTACCTGACAACACCTTCTCCAAGCGTAACGCTGACGACGGATGCCTCGGACTACGGATGGGGCATGACGTTGTCCAATGGCATGTCGGCGAGAGGTTTCTGGCCAAACCCACATGCCTTGCGCATCACCCAGAAAGAGCTAACGGCAGTATTGTTAGCACTGAAGACCATAGAACGAGCAGACCCAGCGCTAACCAAGGACAAGACGGTGATGGTCAGGTCCGACAGCGTAGCTACGGTCTGCCAGCTGAACAACCTTGAGGGGGGGGGGGCGCTCGGAAGTTCTGACGGCTGTAACTCGTCGGATCAACGTCGTAACGTTGTGTCTCAAAACAACCCTCTTGGCAAAGCACATCCCAGGAGCAGACAAGAGCGAAGCGGATCGCCTCAACTGGTCACTGAACCAAGCTATCTTCCGGACGATGGACAGAGAACTGGGACCACATGATGTGAATCGCTTTGCCAACTGTCAGATCACACAGTTACCTCGCTACAACTCTCGGTGGTTGGACGAGGAGACGGAAGCAGTAGATGCACACCAGCAAGACTGGACGAGAACCCACAGCTACGTCAATCCCCCGTTTCGCCTCCTGCCCAGGATCCTGGAGCTCATTCGGAAACCGGGTGTAACTGCAACAGTGATTACCCCCATCTGGCCAGCACAGCCCTGGTACCAGAAATTGGTAGGCATAGCGCTGGAACCACCGATGATAATCCTGAATCTTCCCGAATCTTTTCGAGCCCGGATCTAGCGTCGTTCCGCCAGCCAGAGCCTCTCCACCACAAGAAGTGGGCTATGGCCGCATGGAAGGTCAGAATTGCAGTTGACCTGATCACTTTCAGTGGTGATAACGACTGCCTGAGCTTAGACGTCGTAAGCAGCTTCCTCGGATTTGTAACCAGATCATCCTCTCGACCAGAACCAACACTTCGGCTAGTCCCGGCCGCCGTCGCGTTCCTGGCCGACATACGGGGTAACCCAATTCCAGATATCGCAGTGCTCCGTCGTGTGCGCACAGGTTTCGTGGCATCTCGTTCATCGAAGCCGCGCCAGGCAACACCGAGCGCTGACATCGAAAATATCCTGACATACATTCGTGACCTTGGCCTATCAGTGGAATTGTCTGAAAGAGCTACGCACAAAGGCTTTGACACTGCTTTGCCTGTCATCCCTGTGCCGGCCATCAGATGTAGCATCAGTCCCAATGCCAGCTCTCCATCTCGACACCAGCGATGCCGACGCGAAACCTAGCAAATATTATGCTTGCGCTAGACTCAGGTTAGGCGGCATCTCGTGGGTTGGGGCCGGCTTGGAAATAGTATTCTTCGGCTCCAAAGCTGACAACGGTATGTTCAGCAACCCAGTGGTGATCGAGCAGGCCACAGATCCAGAACTATGCCCCGTTGCCACATTGCAACAGTGCATCAACAAAGCTGGGGCCGCACGGGAAACGGTAGTCAACTAGCCAGTGTTCATCACACTGAGACAGCCATATAGAGTCTTCAATCGCGCAGCTGTTGTCACAGATGCTCAAAGACTCCAGCACGCAGCAAGGAGTCTCTGCTGGATCACTCCGCCCTACCGAAGCACGAAAGGCAATTGCAAGCTCCGCCGAGCCCAGCCTGGTCCATCGGCGCGGGCAGTGGAAAAACGCAGACGTATTCCAGTGAAATTATGCGGGAATCACAAGCCCAGCTACAGATGCCATCCTTTCAGGACACTCATATTTCCTTATATGGCTCATATGTTTTCCATGATTTCGAGCATTAACCGATTCTAACCTTACTCCAAACGTATGCAACCATTATTCTTTGTGTTCCATCCCTGCATCTCATTTTACTTACCATAGTAGCAGAGGGCTGCTGTGCAGGTAACTGGTGTTACTGTAGTAATGTACATTATAATTACCACACAGCAGCCTGATGGTTTCCCTGCCTGACAATTTTCACAATATTATTTTGCTGTTTTCGCGTTGGATCTCACGTCACTGCCTTCGCGGCCAGAAATTGAAGTGGTGTTCTATCCGCTCAACATTCCTTCTTAAACTCAGAATTGCGCTATACAGAATTCTCAGAATTCTCAACATTTTACCGATTCTCTTAATCTACACCTTACCTTCTAGATTTCTCACATATCGTGGCGGAAGAGGTACTAATACAGTTGAAGAAAGTATCGGGCTGCTGTGTGGTAACTATACATACTCAGCAGCGCTGCTGGAATGTAGTGGTGCATTCGACACCCTGGTTAGGAGTACAGCACTGGACAGGATGATGGTGGCGGGGGCGCAGACATCGACTGTATCAGCATTGATCTCAAACACAACAGCTAGAGTAAAAATTTCCAGCCAGCTTGGAGAGGCCTTACCCACAAACATTGGAGTCATGCAAGGTGATTCGCTATCGCCCACTATGTCCAATATGTATGCCGAAGGAGCCATGCGGAAGATCGATGCAGTTTGTAGCCTTGCAAGAACTCAAGATGTACCCTCACCTTCAACACAATACGCAGATGATACAACTATGCACGCATCACCGAGGAGTGCTGTGGAGATCATGGTAGCCACCTGTTAGCCGATCTTCAAAGAAAACAACCTCAACATTAACGTACAGAGAAACGGTATATTTAATTGCTTCCCGCCCTAATGCATCGTGGAAAAAGGTCAAGCTCCTTGGTTCCTTGCTGGACACTACGGAGGATGTAGCAGTCAGGATCAGTGAGGCATACTGAGCATTCGGCTCGATAGCATGGAAGCGGCATTGCCTGGACTCACCGCTTTGCATGTACTCGGTTCTCATTGTTCCAGTGCTAGTGTACAACTGCGGCCTGTGGACCCCCACGAAGCGACAGAAGGAACAGCTGGATGTATGGCAGAGAGGAAAGCTCCGTTCTTCGGACTCCACTACCAATATTGCGTATCCAACCAAATCCTGTATGAAAAATCAAAACAGAAACCAATCTGCGGGGTCGGCAAGAGAAGACGTCTCCTGTGGTTCGGCCATGTTGTTCGGGAAGGTCCGGACACAGCATCCTATGGCGCGCTAACCATGGCCGTCGACACGTCCCAGATCAAGCGTCCACGAGGACGACCATGGCTTCGGTGAATTGATGAGGGGAAATCTGACATCTCCCCGCTCGGACGTACGCTCGAGGATAGCCTCAACACAGCAAGGAACAAAAAGCCATGGCTGGACTTCGTTGACAAATGTACATCCGTGTAAAAATGGCATGTGCTTGTCATGTACTAGAACCTGTATATAATTATATTGTTGGTATGGTATTCTTCCTGTTGAGAAAGTAGCGACGACCCGGCCATTATGGAATCCAATACACCACACCACCACATTGCGCTCTTGGCCGATCCAAACTCTGCACTCACATACAGTCAGCCGCAGTATCTTTGTTTTTGTGGCACATGCAATAACTAACTTTTCTGGTGTTAGACTGACTGCTCTTCTTTGCACCCCCTTTTCACATGTGCTACATGTCCCTGTCCCAGCCATGAGCGTGTGTCGTTATCACATGACCTTGTTATCACTTTTGGCACTTAGGGTATGCCACATTTCTATGCAGAAGATGCGCACTTGCGCCAATCTAGCCCTATAAAGACAAGTGTATTCTTATTATTCTTTCATTCAACATCATATGCCTCCACTTATGAGCTCAGGAGGAGCGAAACAGCTGTCTGGAAGGTCATTGTCAATATCAATCTAGATACCGGAGTTGTTCTCGCTGTGGTGATGGTGATGTGAGTGCAGAGTTTGGATTGGCCAAGAGCGCAATGTGGTGGTATGGTGTATTGGTATTCTTCCTGCTGCAATCTATTTCATGATGAAAAAGTTGACATATGCGTGGAACTCATTATTTGGGAGCCATGCGACCTGTATTATTATTACTTTAAGCACTTGTACCGTCTTATTTGTGCTTGCACCCTCTTCATGCTCCTTATTCCTGTGGAAAACGCTGGTGTGTGCCTTGGCTGCGGTGGTATCACTTTATCATAACCAGGACTGGCACAGGTAGTAGAATCAGCACTATATCGTAGTAAAATGCTCTTGTTTGATTCAGGCCCACCTGTCTTGTCCGCTGCTGATATCGTTGTTGTAGATTTCGTCGCTATTTCGGTTTTCAGTGATCATGTCTGTGCATGTACTCAAGTAGCCGTTTTCTCTGTATTAAATTCAATCATCCTGCTGCTCTGGTGTTATGGCATGACTGCATGCGCTCTAATTCTACTGACACACCTTGCAAGAGTAATGTGAATGGTTGTGGTGATAATTTATGATGTACACACACATACCGTTGGCCGGTATAATCACATCTCCAACGTAGAAGGTTCCGTTGTCAGTTTCCGACCTAAATGCTTGTTCAGTATCAATCTCTTTGGGGCAGCTGATTGCAATTCCAATATTTGATTTCTGTACTTGGAATACTTCATCCGGATCAACAGTCAAGGATGTGACGATGCTTTCCATTGCCTTTGTAATCCTAAAACAATATGGAAAAACAGTGAATAGACTGGGATCGAGTAAAAAAATTACAAATTAAATTATTCAGTCCGTTCCCGAAGGGAACTCACGACGGCCGCTAACACCCGGTAATCCCTAGCGGCAGATACAGCGGCTAACTCGGATGAATAGTGAAGGGTAAATCTATAGTAAAGAAAAGGAACCCAAGGAACTACAAGTAACGCTATAATATCCACTAACACCACCAGGTACCCAACGATCAGCTCATGAAAAATTGCAATACAGCAACTTATAGAGAAAAAGCATAGATTGAGAACTCACGCTATACGTGTGGAAAAAATAAAATTCAGCTGAACAAGTCAACAACAGGGGGAAGGTGAAGAAATCCAAGTCCGGACCTGCAGCAACGGAAGTGACAACAAGGCGACTTCCCAGTGAAAAGGAGGAGTCAAGAGCTGCGACATCGAAGGTGACAAAAAAAAACGAGAAATTCCAACAGTCAGCAATCGGCGATCAAGAGTCATCTGTCGGTTAGTGATAGTTGTCGTGAGTTGTACATAGATGATGTTTTCCCAGTTTTGGCCCGTGGCAGATCTGTACTACATTTGTCTGTTTTGGAAGCGTTATATATTCGCAAGTTGTCCCCTGAACTGTGTGTCCAGAAGGAAAATGTTTTGTCGCTTCAGTTGTTTGGCGCGAATCCTCGTGAAAGTGTCAGGAATGCTTCTTCTCATTGATGTTTTCATTATGTTTGAGTCATTTCTTCACCTTCACCCTGTTGTTGACTTGTTCAGCTGAATTTTATTTTTTCCACACGTATAGCGTGAGTTCTCAATCTATGCTTTCGCTCTATAAGTTGCTGTTTTTGACATTTTTCTATTATTCCCTGTATTTACCCATGATGAGAAGGGAACGAAAACGTTCGGTTACGAAATTGGCTTACTTGACTGTGTGCATTGCGTCGGTGCTGTCACCTTTTCTTTCGAAATTGGATACGCCTCCAATTTTTCCCTTGTATTATTTATAATATTATATTTATTTATTTCACCTTCCCGTGGCAAGACAATATAGGCCAACATTGAGAGATGGGGCGATAGCCAGGCATGGGAGTAAGCAAAAACAATGGATCTTTTTACAAATTACTGGAGGGAATAACCCACACAAGGCGAGGCAAAGAGAGACAAATCTGAATGAAGAATTAGAAGTTATTAGAACACAAGCTTCATGTTGGCCTCGAAATCATTTCGCGTACAAGACGATATTGCGGATAGAGGCAGGGCCAGCCAGAGAGAATAGGCAGCGAAAAACGGAGATCTGGTATAAGCTGATGTTCGGGCTTAAGGCAAAGGGCAGGGAATACGTGTAGGGCGATTGGGAAGAAACCAGTTATATTTACGCGAGTGTGGCGGGGATTTGTCGAGACGAATAGAATGAACAACACTACACAGTTTTCGATCCGCTTGACTAGAGAAGGTAAAGGCGTTAAAAATATCATACAGGTCTTGTAACTCAGAGTAATGTACTGAAGGGGAAGCAAATTTTTGAGCTCCGCAGTTTTTCAGTCTCTGGCAGCCCGTCGGCGTGGCCAAGAGGACCACTAGCAATATTAGTTGGTTAGTATCGTGTAGTAGGGCTGACCCACCTCTGCCCGCCATGCTCCCAGCTACAAAGGCCGCCCTCAAGGGGCTCTCAGAGGTAGAGACGAAACTGTTGTGCTCCCTCCGGGTATCGAGTCGTCTGTGGTTGAGGTTATCAAGACCCTGCCGCGAACTAAGCGTCCGAGTCAGCCGATCGCGAGGATCGCCTCAACAAAAGAATCAATGACCTGTCGCGGCAAGTGTCAGGCCTGACTCAGGAAGTTGTCTCCCTCAAGGAAGCCGCCATTGCCAAGGCAAGTGTTCCCCCAAATTTTCAAGCTTCTCAGCAGAGCCAGCGTACGAAGCATAGATCTACGAAATCGTCAAGAAATCGTACCCGTACCCGCACAGGCCAGGCTGCCGCGTGCACTGCTAGTACGGGTGAGCCCCGTAGCGTTGATGACACTGGCAGTGACCCTGTCTGGCTGAGGCGTCCAGTGAGGAAGACAGTAATTCTGAGATCATTGGCATTGAGGGCCCCTACAGCAGGAGCGCTAAACATCGCTCCAAGCCAGTCCTGGAGGTCTTAGACGACGACAGCTGGCAACTGGTGTCAGGAGAGCCTCGTAGGTCCAGGAGGGCAGTTTTGTATATAGGCAATTTAAGCTCAAGCTGCACGGAGGAGGAACTGAAATGCTTCACCCCGTAGCGTGCAGTTGCAGCAGGGGATATGGCAACGGTGCACACTTGCAGCCTCGACACCACGGAGGCAGGAAGAGTGTCCTCCCACCTAACTGTGGACGCAAAGGACCTCACCCTAGACACAACTGAGAATTTCTGGCCAAGGCCCCTGTACGCGAGGCCATGGCGATTTAAGGAACGCACTGAGCAGCAATCCGAGTGATGCCCCCTAGCCTAACGCTCCTGCTCACAAATGCCTTCGGACTGCAACCCAAACTTGGTGAGTTCCAGTACACCCTAGACCAAGTCCAACCTGATATCGCCATCATCACAGAAACCAAGCTCACCCCAGAAAGTACTACGCAAGCAGAGCTGACGGTCTCTGGCTATTTCTCACCCTTGCGGCGTGACAGGACTCGCCATGGCGGTGGTGCAAGACTTCCCTCGCTATGCGGGAGCTGGAAACAATCGACGTGCTTGATCAGGAGCTCGTGTGGCTAAGCGTCAAGCTGTTCAACAGCGAGTCTGTGGTCATATGTGCAGCTTACCGCCCTGGAACGTGCTCAGACACGGACATCACCATCTTTGACGCCATATCTGCCGGCCTTGAGTCGACAACGTGCCAAAATTCGCCTGTGATTCTAGCTGGTGATTTAATGTGCACAAACAAGACTGGCTCCACAGCAGGCGAACGACACGTGCAGGCGAAAATGCAGAGGACATGTGCCACATGTATGGTCTTGAGCAGCTCGTCTATGAGCCAACCTGTGATCGCAACACCTTGGACCTCGTGATGTCAAATTTACCAGGCAGAATCGTCACGCCTCTGCATCCACCCCTTGGAAAATGCGATCATGCAGTGATAGTTGCAGATTTTGATGTGGCACCAACCCCAGACCGTCCGATCAAGCGCACAGTATGGCGGTACCATTGTAATGGATAGCCGAGTGGTAGGCGCGGTGAAATCAACAAGAATTACTTTTATTCTACTTTCAGGTACACACCTGAGATATAATGATTAGTGAAAGAAGAAGCGGCAAAATAAATAAGATTCAAGATCTCTCCGGTGCTCACCTAGAGGTTGACTACTTCTTCGAGTTATCTTTCGTTGCTATCTAATCTAATCTTCTCTTCATCAAAACAGAAATGCTTAGCCGCTTTTATGCAGCAGACGCCGTACGCTTACATACGGAGATACACTAAATATACATCAGGCAAAGCTCCGTATTAGTTCCGTACTGCTTCCGTATTGGTCGGGCAGGGATACTACACCCTCCCTTCCTACAGATAATCACGCCCTCGTGATTTTCAAAAAATTACTGAAGAGTTACGAAAACAGCGTCAACCGGAAGATGGCAAATTATATCGGAAATGATAACGTTTAGAGTAGACAGAATAAATGAACTGATAACAAATCATAAAGTAGAAGCACACCAGGTTCACACGATCTCACGGGGTCAAAAGGGGAAAGAACTGTTCTCCAAATAGGACCTGAAAAACCACAGCACTCTTGCTGCACAACGCTGGCACAACCCGCCAGGAACATCGCAGGTCAAAAACCGAACTGAATACACTATACCTATAAGGGGCGTTGTCACACACATTGTCCCACGTTAGCTGGGTAAGCCGTGGCTCACCATGATCAGACGCCTACCAAACTACACTGGATTCACACACTCGCATAAAGGAAGACTGAAGAGAACAGGGAGACTGAAGGAAGACAGGAAAGAAAATGCCATACCTGGAATCAGCGTTAGTAACCACGGCGGCGGCTGGAGCTATGGCGGAGGGCAAGCCAGGTTTTATCTTCATCTTGGCTGAGCCGGTCACTCAGAGCGGCTAGCTCGTGGTCGGACAAATGACCTCCCTCCTCGTCTTGAATCATGGTCTTCACATTGTCGATAGCATCGCTTTGCGCGACGTAAAGAGTGATGGTCTAGCCAGGAAGAGTGTTGACGAAAATCTGCATCCCACCACGGAGACGAAGTACCAAGTGAATAGTGGACTCCTGCTGAACGTTGTAGTCACTCAGGGTTCGGCCGTCTGCCAACTGCGTGCGGGCGAAAATCAAACGCTGCCTGTCTTGGGGAATACCCGCCTTGTCTTGGTCAGCAGCCTGCATGTCGTCGTCCTCATCAGCTTCGCCATCATCACCGGTAGTATACATGTAGGTAGCGGGTCGCTTGGAATCGCCATCGGAGTCTCCAGTGAGTGCCATGCGGAGGGAAGGGTGATCCACGCTAGCACCCTGACTGTGCTGCAAGCTAATAAGCAGGGCCAGGCCCAGGAAGGCAAGAAACATGATTCTCATCTTGATTCGTCGCACGAAGCTGCGGGTTGAGCCATGGGGGTCTGGGGTCGAATCACGTTGTTTTATTTTACAAAAACACACCGCTGCCACCAATGTAATGGGTAGCCGAGTGGTAGGCGCGGTGAAATCAACAAGAATTACTTTTATTCTACTTTCAGGTACACACCTGAGATATAATGATTAGTGAAAGAAGAAGCGGCAAAATAAATAAGATTCAAGATCTCTCCGGTGCTCACCTAGAGGTTGACTACTTCTTCGAGTTATCTTTCGTTGCTATCTAATCTAATCTTCTCTTCATCAAAACAGAAATGCTCAGCCGCTTTTATGCAGCAGACGCCGTACGCTTACATACGGAGATACACTAAATATACATCAGGCAAAGCTCCGTATTAGTTCCGTACTGCTTCCGTATTGGTCGGGCAGGGATACTACACCATTAAGCCGACTGGC